CCGGGTCGCGTACTGTGAAATTTACAGCTTGCGCTAACCATCCGAGCTACCACGGCTTAATAATATACACACACAATATTTAAATATAATTTGTTAACACTAAATCATACACACGTAAGAAAGTAACAGAAAGAAAAGTAAGTTTGTCAATAGATTAAACACTTACATCTATGGCCTTTGATGCGTTGAAGTAACACAAATATAGTATTGATAGATCCACTGCGGTCAAACGACCATACCTAACTCCATAACTGCAGTTGCTTGGTCTTATATAGTACCAGTAAGTAATAATTCTAATCTAAAGAATTTCTACAGTGGAATTGATAGTAGCTTTATGCGTCAACAAGCTTATCTCACATTCTGTTGCTTATCTCAGCATTACTTCGTGTTGCGTCTTATTCAGTGTATTGATGACTCAAATACGTTTTGTATAACAAAATAATGCAATTTAATATTTAGAAATCACTAATTGTTCATGAAAATAAAACTGTATACTTTTTAGAATTTTACTCATTTTTAAATATGGAGTGGATGCTTAAAGGAGACCGTGTTGCAGTTATTGCGTTGCATCGTTGCGGTTACGTGCCAATTCAAATTTTTGACATACCGAAAAATTTGAATATAACCAAAAGATTCGTTTATCGTACCATCAAACGATACAATGAAGACTCTAGTGTAGATGACAGGTCAAGAAGTGGTCGCCCTCGATTTGTTAGGACTCCAGCAGCGATAAAAGCTGTAAAGGCGCGAATTCAAAGAAATCCCAAATGTAAGCAGAAACTGTTGGCCCTTCAGATGGGGTTAAGCCACATGGTGTAAGAACCACGTGAAAAGGGTGTTAAATGAAGACTTAGGGCTTCGGGCATATCGAAGAAAAACAGGACATCGTTTGAATGCTCGTCTAATGGACCTGAGACTGAAGAGATGCCGCGCTTTGTTGAAGCGGTACGCGGGAAAAAATATCGGGAAATTCTTTTTTCGGATGAAAATTTTTTTACCTTAGAAGAGAGCTACAACAAACAAAATGATAAGGTGTACGCACACAGTAGTGAAGAAGCGAGTAACCGTATTCCGCGTGTCCAACGAGGTCATTTTCCATCCTCGCTCATGGTATGGTTCGGAGTTTCTTATTGGGGCTTAACAGAGGTACATTTTTGTGAGAAAGGTGTAAAAACGAATGCAGTTGTGTATCAAAATACAGTCCTGACGAACCTTGTGTAACCTGTTTCTCATACCATGTTCAATAACAGGCACTGGGTATTCCAACAAGATTCGGCGTCAGCTCATAGAGCGAAGAGCACACAAGACTGGCTGGCGGCGCGTGAAACGATATCATCTAGAGTTTTTAAAAAGGAAATGTTACGCCACACCGCCACAGCCAATCACAGCGCACCATTCAAGCCAGCCAATCGTAGCCAAGCCAAACCAAAGCCACCACTCTAATTACCGGATGCCTCTGGTAGGGGGTCCAGCTATATAGTGCCTTACAACCTCATTTTTGGGAATTCTTATAATACCGCTCTTATAAGACGAAACGCTGTCGAAATATTAAAATTAAATAAAATTATTGTGCTTATAGTTTTCTACCCTCTTTTATTTTAATAACTGTTACATCTCAGAAGTGGGATAAGAAGTGAAAACTATGAAGCGTGGTCACGTCAATATGCCAAGAAAAGGCCATAATGTCCGCCCTCAAGAATGGAGTGAATCACCATGTGAAGATTCATCAAATAAAAGCGACACTGAAGACGAGGACACACAACCAAATACTCCTCCAGCACGGAAAATCCTTAGAAGGCTATTGGAAACCGAGGTACAAAAGGCAATGCAAGGGTTAGACGAAGAGTTACCCTCCGTAACCACAGGAAAAGAACACCGCGCGGCCTTACTTATTCCAGAGTTCGACCCCGATAGTGAAGAATGTAGTACTGCAACAGCATGGCTCAAAAAAATAATCAATTCGGCGAAATTCACGGCTGGAGCGAAACTACAAGGTCGTTTTACCTGCAACATAGACTAAGAGGTCAAGCAAGACGATGGTACAATCGGCTTGATGAGTACGATTATTCCTGGCAAGAATGGAAGCAGATGCTGGTGCGTGCTTTTCCTAAACATCGCGATTTCGGAAACATGTTAGAAGAGATGATGAGCAGAAAGAAACTACCAACGGAATCGATGACTAAATACTACCAAGATAAAGTGGCCATGTGCTTCCGGTGTAAGTTGTCTGACAACGCAACAGTCTCCTGCATCATTCGTGGTCTACCATCATCTCTACAAGCGAACGCGAGAGCATATCAGTGCGAGCATCCCGAAGAATTATATGAAGGTTTCCTTTGTGCACTGGACGATTATCAACCGCCGTCAACGTCAATTGGAACACGTGTGCAAAATAAAGATTCCAGCAATCGACAGATAATCGATAAAAAATACACACCTATTAACCCTGACATCGATCCATGTCCGCGCTGTAAGAAGACCGGCCACATATTACGTAACTGCCCTTATCCAGATTCGCGAACATGCTTCAAATGCGGCAAGCAAGGCCACATTGCTACGCGCTGCACAATCGCTCTGAAACCTGCAACAGCGATTGAAGGCGTGGATTGAAGCGTGGTAGAGCCATGCTGCAGTTATATTAGTAGTATAGTTGTAGCACGAATGGGTCGGCTCGACCGGGGAAGGACCACACTCTCACAGAATACCAGCGTGAAATAGTAGCTTAATGCTGCTGTGTTTTGTATGGTGAGTGCAGAGAACCGGAGACCCTTTTTACTGGAAACGAGGCATTCCATCTTAGTCCTCACGGGTGACAACGCATCTGCATTTTGATTCGTAATCGAGGATAGATGTAGATGTCTATGGGCCACAGCAACCACTTACCATCAGGTGGACTGTGTGCTCGTTTGTCACCCTATCCTATAAAAAAAAAAAAAGGTAAAGTTATGGAAATTAAATTTTTACAAAACCACAATAAGATTTACGAAAAAAGTGGTAAAAATCAACGGCATTCACGTTAAATCTTATATTGACACCGGCAGCCAAGTAAATGTACTATCTATCCACGTGTCGAGACTATTGGATCTCAAAATTAGCCCGACCAACATCATCCTAAAAGGATTCTCGGGAGAGCATTTACCCAGCTGCGGAGAGGTAGCTTTCAAACTAGAGATTGATAATATGCATATCCCTTGCAAGGCTTATTTAACAGACTTAGATATGGGGAACATCAATCTTTTGGTTGGACAACCCATCATCAACAGTGATGGAATGACTTTAGAGGTCAGGGAAGGAAAAGCCACTCTGAAACAAGACACTGACTTTATAAGACAAATGGATGCGATTGAAGAACGCGCTCGCTTTAAGGTCGTCACTACAGAAAAAGAGTCTCTATTGCCTGGACTTTCTATCATCAAAGTCAACGTGATAGATAATGATGAAGATAACGACGTCGTCACTACGCCACAACATTATGAGCTACGAGGTGTTTCGTACTCAATTCCCGCCACTCTGCTACGAGGCACCGTCGGGTACATCAAAGTCATCAACAATGGAGCTCAAAACGTCATCTGGGAGCAGGGAGAGGTGCTGACCAGAGCAGATAGCTGCGTCGCCTCACCGCCACCAGAAGTTCAGGTTAGCCCACAAAATTACACTTTGCCATTGACTTCAGTAACCAAAGCCAATAATGATTGTTATAGCAACTCTATAGCATCTCTGTTGCACACTAGCCTAGCCCATGTTAGCACTATTGGGGGAATAAACGTAGAAGATATTAAGTCGGGTCCATTAAATAAAAACGATCACGATAGTTTAATTGCCTTATTGACTAATTACAGTGACTGTTTTGCGAATAAAACACAAGACTTGGGATGTACAGATTTATTAAAAATAAAAATAAAATTAACAAGTGATCAGCCTATATACCGCCAACCCTACCGTTTGTCACATAGTGAGCAGGAGATAGTTAGGTCCAAAGTCACCGAATTATTAGACGCAGGTATAATCCGAGAGTCTGAATCTTGTTTTGCTTCTCCAGTTATCATTGTAAAGAAAAAGAACGGCGATAGTAGGCTCTGTGTCGACTATCGAGCACTTAATGCTATTACAGTCAAAGATAGGTATCCGTTGCCCAATATCGATGATCAGGTTTCAAAGTTAGCCGGCAAGAGGTTCTTCACAAGTCTTGATTTAGCACAGAGTTACCATCAGGTTAAAATTGATCCTGAAGACATACACAAAACCGCATTTATCACACCGCAGGGGCACTTTGAATATACGCGTGTCCCGTTTGGATTGGCTAATGCACCAGCAGTTTTTATGCGGCTTATAAACAAGATCGTAGATTCATTACGAAATCCCAATAACTTTTCAAAAGGCGGTAGTACGAAAACACGCAATAATTTTACGAACGACTATGAAGTGTTAGCATTTTTAGACGATTTGTTGTTACCATCATTTGATGTGCAGTCAGGCTTAGATATTTTAGAGAAGGTTCTTCATAAATTAAGATTAGAAAATTTAAAACTAAACATGAGTAAGTGTTCATTTTTACAAAATAAAATCACATACTTAGGACACGAAATTACACCGAGTGGCATTCAACCGGGCGAATATAAGTTGGCAGCAGTGTCACAGTTTCCCACTCCTAGTAACGTTCACGAGATACGTCAATTTATTGGGTTCAAAAAAATATTGAAAAAAAAAGATCTTACTTCTTATTTGTATTGTGATGTATTTCGACAAGTGTTGTGTCTAATTTTTCGATTACGTTTACTATATTCTCTTTAAAACCGAAATCAAGTGATTCAGCTGAAAAATAATTCTATATTAGTTAAAAAAAACGATACGTTAATGAATACTAAAACAACAGAATAGTTACTAGTCTATATTTACTAGTCTTAGGAACAGGTATTTTAAGCCAGTCGTTTACACTGGAATTACTTGAATAGCTGTCGCATATTTTCTGAGTATCGTTGACTTCAACTTTTTGTTTTTTACTATCTTGAGAAGTCGCAGTAGATTTTCTTTTTACTGGAGTTTTCTCCGAAACTCTTTATGTGTAAATTTTCGCTCATATTGGAATCTTGACACGACTCTTTATCATCGACTGCTGACGAACTCTTCAACCAGTATTTTTTATTTTCAAGTGTATTTTCTACACTTTCAATAACAGATCTACTAATTTTACTTTTAACTGCAGTTTGCTTTGAAACCAAAGGCTTCTGAGAAAACTGCAGTTTTTTTCTTTTTACTGGAGTTTTCTCCGAAACTCTCCATAACAATGGTTGAAGCATCGTGTTTTTTATAATAAAATGTCTTATATGCTTAACATACTCGTTTGATTCCAACGCAATAGAATTTTGTTTTGCTATCGCCTTAATATCATCGAATAACTTTATAGGTGAAGTTTGTGAATAACGAAAATATTTTGTTCTGTCGATTCGAGAGATTCTTTAGATTTTGTTACGGAAATGTTCGGTTTTTTTGTTCCATCAACAGTTTGATTTGAATCGCATCGTTCTAACTTAAAAGATCTTTTGAATCAAGACTGTATGCTGAATTAGAATTGGGACTTGATGGCAGCCATTTCCTTCCGATGACAACCTTACGACAGACACTATGGAGACATTACAATACAAGAATATGTATACAAGAATTGTAAAGTCTCCAATAGTGTCTATCAGAAGCTTTGTCTACGTAATTAATCGAACTGCTTTCCCTAAATTTTGAATTAGGATTGTCATTCATATTGCGAGATTCTTTACTAATATCTCTGTTAAGCTTAAAGAAATAATTTATGGATTGATTTAAGTCATCTACTTCTAAATTTCTCGGTTCTATTTCTGTTTTTAAAAGCTCACGACTTGGAGGTAAATCGTCTTTGCACAAATCAAGATTTCCATGCGCAGTTATAGGGGAAGAGCCAACAGTATCAATAGATTTTTTTAAATATATTTCTGATGATATATTTGTTATTCCATCATTCGAATTTATTTTATTTTGATTACTGTCGGTGCTTAATTTTTTATTTAACTCCTTTTGAATGATGCATATAAATACTTTTATCATTTTTCTCTTCAAGTCTTTCTTCGTATATTTTTTTAATTTTTATATCACATTACCTGAGAGTGAATCATTAGCGATATCTTCACGGGGTGGTATCATTTTTTCTACGACTAATAAGGGTAGAGTTAGTAAGATTTATAATTTTACTCTGTAAAGCTTCTTGAACCAAAACGTCTATTAAAATATCATCATTGTAAACTTTATTTTTAGAAAATCGTTCTAATGTATCGTTTATAACAGATTCGACCGCAGTTCCAACAGAAGCTATATAAGACAACTAACAGCATTTTTATCATCCGTCGCTGCTGGTGACAAACGTGTTTTTTAAACTTCTTTGTTTTTGTCGTTTTCCCTGCCTTTTGCTTCCCCTCTTAACAAACTTTTCTGACAGATGCCATATCGACTTAGTTGTAAACTCGTGTTTAGGTTTCGATGATCACCCGCTTCGCTCACTTCAGTAACGCTGGACAATTGGGGTCTAGCGCATAAACTTACGGGTTCCTAATCGTAATTGTGCCACGGCAAAGCTTTGGAGCAAATTTTTGGTGGAGCTGTAAAAGTAATTTTAAAAAATACACATTTTTAGTGCATAATACTGTGTTGTAAAAGAGCAAAATTTGTTACACACGCTTTGTAAATAATGGAAAAACGACAATTTTTTCTATGAATTTAGTGCAAATTTATTTATTTATTATTTCTTTATTGCAAGGAATGCAAAATCAAAAGAATACAAAGGGTGGACTGAATGCCTTGAGGCATTCTCTAATTGTATACTAAGAATAAGAATATATTAATCTATACATTTAATAAGTCTGTAGAAAAGTCGAGTCTATAATTCTAATATTTTCTGGAAAAAAAACAAGTCCAGCGGGCTAAATAAAGCCACTGAATAAGGCCACAGAAGCCAAATTAGTGGTTTTTAGAATGTTTGTCTGTCTGCCTGTCTGTTTATTCAAGATTCACGCGAAAACTACTTAACAGATTTCCATGAAATGCGCGTGTAGGTAGATAGGGACCCGGGGCTACTTATAGGATACTTTTTATTAGATTACGAAACTATAAAAAAGGAGGGTTAAGTATTTTCCTTCCTTTAGATGAAAATATTTGTAAACAAGATTCACGCGAAAACTACTTAACAGATTTCCATGAAATGCGCGTGTAGGTAGATAGGGACCCGGGGCTACTTATAGGATACTTTTTATTAGATTACGAAACTATAAAAAAGGAGGGTTAAGTATTTTCCTTCCTTTAGATGAAAATATTTGTAAACAAGATTCACGCGAAAACTACTTAACAGATTTCCATGAAATGCGCGTGTAGGTAGATAGGGACCCGGGGCTACTTATAGGATACTTTTTATTAGATTACTAAACTATAAAAAAGGACGGTTAAGTATTTTCCTTCCTTTAGATGAAAATATTTGTAATCAAGATTCACGCGAAAACTACTTAACAGATTTCCATGAAATGTGCGTGTAGGTAGATAGGGACCCGGGGCTACTTATAGGATACTTTTTATTAGATTACGAAACTATAAAAAAGGAGGGTTAAGTAATTTCCTTCCTTTAGATGTAAATATTTGTAAACAAGATTCACGCGAAAACTACTTAACAGATTTCCATGAAATGTGCGTGTAGGTAGATAGGGACCCGGGGCTACTAATAGGATACTTTTTATTAGATTACGAAACTATAAAAAAGGAGGGTTAAGTATTTTCCTTCCTTTAGATGAAAATATTTGTAAACAAGATTCACGCGAAAACTACTTAACAGATTTCCATGAAATGCGCGTGTAGGTAGATAGGGACCCGGGGCTACTTATAGGATACTTTTTATTAGATTACGAAACTATAAAAAAGGAGGGTTAAGTATTTTCCTTCCTTTAGATGAAAATATTTGTAAACAAGATTCACGCGAAAACTACTTAACAGATTTCCATGAAATGTGCGTGTAGGTAGATAGGGACCCGGGGCTACTTATAGGATACTTTTTATTAGATTACGAAACTATAAAAAAGGAGGGTTAAGTAATTTCCTTCCTTTAGATGTATGTGTTTTATTAAAATAAATAAAATATTTTAAAATATTTATAAACAAAATCCAAAATAAGTTTAAAAAAGAGAAAGAAATTTGTAAAGAAAAACATCGCAAGGAAGCTTGCATATTTGAGAAGTAAAGAAATGTTTCGGAAATCATTTTTACTGCATATTTTTATTATTTTGAGCTACGATCAGAAAGAAGCTGCTGCCCGTCCTATGTAGATTTCTACTCCTGCTCACGAATTTAATTCTTCTTACACGTTCACCGTTAAATACAACAATAATATCGTAGATTGTCGGCGTAGTTAAATTTATTACACAACGGTTAAAACTAATTTTGGGCTTTATTTATAAATATTTTATTTATTTTTATAAAACTCATCAACCGTATAAAATAGAAATTAACATCTAAAGGAAGGAAAATACTTAATCTTAACCCTCCTTTTTTGAAGTTCCGTAATCGATAAAAAGTAGCCTATGAGTAGTCTCGGATCCCTAACTAACTACACACACAGTTTTATGGAAATCTGATGAGTAGTCTTTGCGTGAATCTTGAATTAACGTAGTAGATCCATGCTGCAGTTATATTAGTAGTATAATTGTAGCACGAATGGGTAGGCTCGATCGGGGAAGGACCACGCTCTCACAGAATATCAGCGTGAAGTAGTAGCTTAATGCTGCTGTGTTTCGTATGGTGAGTGTAGAGAACCGGAGACCCTTTTTACTGGAAACTAGGCATTCGATCTTAGTCCTGACGGGTGACAACGCATCTGCAATTTGATTCGTAATCGAAGATAGATGTAGATGTCTATGGGCCACAGCAACCACTTACCATCAGGTGGACTGTGTGCTAGTTTGTCACTTTATCCGATAAAAAAAATACACAGACAGACAAACATTCTAAAAACCACTAATTTAGCTTCAGCGCCATTTATTTAGTCCCTTGGACTCGTTTTTTTTTTCAGAAAATATTAGAGTTACAGACACGACCTTTCAACAGATTTATTATATGTATAGATATTGTTTTGGAAACCTTAGCGATCTCATCAAGGTTTCATAGTAATATCTTAAATGATACAGGAACCCATTGAAAACGCACACAAACATTATTTTATTTGTTAGAAGCCTTACCCTGGCAAGTATCCGCTGTTTAATAACGCTACTCAATTGTAAAAGTAAGCACCGTTAAAATTTGTAACGTAAGTACCGTTTAGTGGTGGTGTAAGAACACCCACTACCCCAAACCGTCCCGTGGGTGTCGTAAGGAGCGACAAAGGGAAACAAAGCAGCAGATGTGCAGCAGTATCTTCGTTAAAGTTACAGCCTGTATGTGTCCCACAGCTGGGCACAGGCCTCCCCTTAGTTCTGAGACGTTTTCAGTTCAAGGAAATGTTCGCCGCACTGCCCCAATGCGTGTTGGCGGGCTTTTACTTGTCTTCGAAATAGTTTTACTTCTCGGACATGCAGGTTTCCTCGCGACGTTTCACTTCACCCCTGGAGCACGTAGTAAATCAGCACTTAAAATTCCAATTAACAATTTCATTGGTGCCGGGCGATGATCGAACCCGGTTTGCACGCGTACTGTGAAATTCACAACGAGAGCTAAGCCCCTGAGCTACCACAGCTCTCCTAATAACAGCGCCTTCCTAAACACAATGTAAACAATATATTTGTACGACTGGATAATATTTTCATACAAGCAATGTAGTGTATGTTTTACAACTACCCTCAATTGCTATTTGAATGGTACCATATATTGTAACAGAGAAATTCAAAGATAAAAATTACTATAATTCTTTTAGATTTATCAATTTTAAGTATTTTATTAAATCGTTGACAATAATATTACAAACGGATTGTGTGATGGACTTTTCTATTGCTTTAGTTATAGATAGACTTACCTACTAAAGCGAACAATTTAACCACTCACGTCCCGACCAGCTTACACCCTGCAGTCCCGACAGTGTATTGGACCAATTACTCAGACCAAATACAAAAAAGTCAAGCCAGAGTATAGTAGGTTAGGACAATGACATTTTTTTAAAATGAAAGTGGTTGCGCGGAAAACCATTCGTATTTATTTTATTTGACGGTAGGCTGCCAAATCGGTTATCCCATTCCAAAACGATATCATTCATACCCTCCTATCGACACATCGGGGTGGTGGGGTGGGAGGGGAAAGAAGATGATTCTAGAATGTCACGTAATATCGGAACCGAGGATATATAAGACACGCGCGACCGACGCGCAGCTCTCTTCCCGCCGCGCTCGTCGTTGAAACCACACCGCTAGTAGAAACCGCTTTAGCCTGGAAGCAATCGAGCTCCAGGGAACCCGCCTCACCTCGTGTGAGATATAGTCGCGCACCGCTTCTCTCCGGAGTGTTCCAGAAGTCGCAGTTATAGTGCTCGACCGCATAGAAGAAACATCCCGGTGAGTCAATATCCAATATTATAGCCTGCTTGATATAATTGTTTTAACCCGCTCCAATTTTGTGTTTTCCTAATCAAGCAGGATTCCATTTGTTCATTCCGTTCATTCATTCATCGATTTGGCAAATAATAGTTCGTTTTAAGGGAAGAGCGAGTGCATTGTACCGCATATATAAGTGTAGAAGCATTTGTAGATACAGTCCACTTAGATTAATATCTCGCCCGGGGAACTAGACTTCGGCAGCCTTAAACACGTGGCTCCACCAGAAAGTAAATACAATTTAGAGTCATTACCATGTTTTTATCCAAAAATAAGAATTATCAACAATTAAAATATCGAATTATTTGTATGAAGGTCAAGCGAGCGCTAGAGAAACGGCGATTGCATGACGTTGTTGATAAATAAAATGTGCGAAAGTATCCATTACCGTGTCGTGGCGGTGCATGAAATCCATATCATCCCGTGAATGTCGTAAGAGGCGACTATACTTGATGGAAAGTGTTATTTTTAAATAACCGTGACCATCGCTCCAGTTACAAAAAAGTAACAGTGAAAAATGATCGTGACAAAATCACGATGGATGGAATACTTGGAACATTAGAACGAAAGGAAAAAAAATGCATTTTAGATTTAGGTTTTAATTTAGTAGTCGATCTTTTATTGCCTTCCTCACCTAAGCTACGATCGTGACTATGTTATAAATACCATTCTAATCATTATTTTTAAAATAAACGAATTTCACCTGACCTACCCGATCAGTTGATGTACCATTCCAGTATACCGTACCGCACCTTATTACACAGTAACAAGGTATGTGTAAGTTATATAAATAACTAATATTATTTAAAAAAAAATTGTATTGATGTCAAACGCCCAAGGCGGCAAAATCCGATAGTAGGCACGGGACACATGCAAAGATACCAATACAAAAATAACCGTAAAAAAATACTATAATAATAAAATAAAAATATACAATATAATTATATCGGTATCGTAATATATACATTCAGTAGGTGCCTTCAATAAATAAATAAATAAATAAATAAATAATCAATCATAGGTATATACTTTAAGCTATCTTTGACCAATGTTATTTTTATTGAAAAGAACTTTGTCGTAATATATGTATATCATATGTCATAATATATGGATATATGTATATCGGAATTATAACACAAAACGTAATGTTCGCACTTTGGACCGTGCAGAATATAAAAATTTGTGTTTTTTTACATGATTTACAGTAATAGCTGCATTTGTTTGTTTACTACTTTGTTTCTCACGTGAACGACACAGTATTTGAAATGCAAATTTTGTAAATTGTTACGAGAATTTATACCTACTATTTTTAATAATGTAGTGGTCTCTCGCACACTCAAATGTATATCTTTTTGTATAGTTAATAAAGTCGCATTTTGTATCACTATCTTTAAAGGGGCTCACCGCGTCACGTCGTGTCATGTCTTGGTGTGAACTGACCCTAAACAGTTAAATTATGTGAATGAAGTTTTATCCCCCATTTTCACCCATACTTACGGGTGGAGGTTCTTCTCCAAACTTATATGAGACTACCCCTATTATAATGACCCATTAAATAAGAAAAGCATCGTTCAAATTGGGCCACAGTTGACGAAGGTAACACAGATAAAAAAGGACATTCACTCGAATTAATGCCTTTCTGCTTTTTTGAAATCGCTTAAAAGTTGAGACAGAGTTCTAATCCGCAGTTCGCACTTCGACTACTTTGTAAACAATTCCCAGCACAAGCATTTTCAGTTTACTTGGAAACGATTAACTAGTATTGTTGAAAGCGTTATTTGTATTCTTTAAAAAAAAAACGTAAAACCGTGCACAAAAACAATTTTATTGAAAATAGTGATGTACATTCTATAAATCCCAGAAAATGTGCAGACTATATCTATCAAAAGGTTCAAACTATTTATTAAGCAAATATTGTTTAGTAAGGGTTATTGTGTTACTAAAGAGTACACGATTGATAATAACCCCTGGGAATTAAGTGATCGCTACCGTGCTGCTTCTAAATTTTTCCATAACAATTGTTAACATTATATTGTAACATTATATTGTCAGTTACGCATAAAAAAATTCCCGCTGGGTTTCTTTCTGATTCTTCCCAGGACAGAGGTCTTTTCCGAACCAGTGGTTAATTTAAAAAATGAATTTCGATAAGAATTACATGTGATCTATATTGAATAAATATGATTCTATCCTATTCTATTCACGCTATTATTTAGAATCCACGTAGTATGATAGTTATATACTTCACCTCCTATCCAGTTCAGAGAATTTGACGTCGATCAGCTTAACCATGTCGCTGAACAAACCTGTAGCGGCTTGCTTGTATTGAGTACGGCGTTGGTCTTTCAGCTGATTCAGCTGTTTTTGCGCTTTCACGAACAAGTTTATGAATCTGAAATAATAATAGTTTCAATTATTGACAAAGACATAGATAATGATATCAAATGGGGTATGGATGTTTGTCCTTGAAAAACTTATGTATGTAAGCTGCCTTAACGATACACAAGAAAATCCTACTGTGGAGGTAACGTTTAAAAAAAATAGAAAACATTGAATTAAACAAAAGAATAAAAATAATAACACTCCAAAATGTGTGCTAAAAATTACGAAGGACAAAATGAATTAAATGGCAGTACAATAGGCGATCTTATCTCTTATAAAGATGGGGCTGCAAGAAATCAGCAATAGATTTTTGACGGTCTACTGCTGTTGCGCTGTACCCGTAAGACGAGCTCAACAACCGAGAGAGACAAATGCAGCTCGGATAGATTGTACCTGTGAAATATAATGAAATCATCATAATTTCGTATTTCCCATTTTCTCCTCCAAAATCTTCATCCAAACTTTAGTTTTTTCAAGAATAACGGTTGCGGATATGTCTGTAGAATTTTTTATGTTCGTTGTTTCCTGGATGTTTAATAACAGCCTTATAACTGGACAGTTTTATAAATTTTAGAAGGTTTCTAGTTTTAAATACTTAATTAATTTACGAAAAAAGACATAAGAACACAGCAGTGTGTCAAAGTACACAGTAGTGTCATTATCTAGAGGAAACAGGAATACGTTTGTATAGATGAAAAGGATTTCATCACGTTTCATCATCATCATTAGTATCATTATCATCACCATAGTCATTACAGCTCATCGCAAGTCCAGTGCTGCACATAGGCCTCCACCAAATATTGTCACAAAACCTCAACTTCCTACATGGTTTACCAGATCGTCACTCCATTTAGTAGGGGACCGCCCAACACTTCACTATACTAGGCTGCCACTCAAAAACCTATCTTCCTCATCGGTTGTCGGTTCTTCGAGCTATATGGCCGGCCCATTGCCACTTCAGCTTACTGATCCGTTGGGCTATGTCGGTTACTCTAGTTCTACTGCGGTTATATTTATTACGATCATTCAGAGAAACTGAGAATTGCCCACTCTATAGCTCTCTGAGCAATGAACCGCGGCATAGTGACAGTGTTCTCACATCACAGTTTATCTATCAACCTATATATTATGTCGTCCTATATCTTACTGTTTGATACTGCATACTGATCAATCCCTGAACTCTGCTTTACGTAAAAGACCGCTTCAAGTTAATCTTCTTCTCTCACGATCGTCACCAACTTTTCACTGACAATCTTTCCTTACGTATATCGGAACACTCATATTCCTTCATTAATAAATCATGTTCGCTTACACGCTTTTGAAATTCCTTGCCATTATGTATTCGACGTGCTTAGTCCGTTTTCTCCTTCACAAATCTTCTCAAAGATTATTACTCCGAGCTCTAATATTTCTTACCATACTTCCCTTCCTCAATTGTATCTACATACCTATCCTCAACAATCACTATCTTGTGTTGTTCTATTTTTTCTTTTATCTAATTGCTTAATTATGTACACCTTCTCTAATCGTCATTCGTTATAAGCATCGCTTCCAGAGCGATAAAACGAACTATTGTACCTTCTATATAATTTATTTCATTTTGTTTTGGTATTAATGTGTACTGATGTACAATAAAGAATATATACGAAACACAGCAGCATTAAGATGCTATTTTACGTTGATATTCTGTGAGAGCGTGGTCCTGTCCCGGTCGAGCCGACCCATTCGTGCTACAACTATAATACATTTGCAGCATGGCTCTTCAACGTAAAAAACCCTTTACGAAATGTGAATTTTTAACTGTGATGGGAATTCGTCTACAGTAATTTGTAATGTAATTTTTTTTTATTCAGGACTAGATTGGCACACAGCTTATAAACAAAATGAAATTTAAACGTAATTAAATTCTTTTAATTAAAACATTAGAAACCCAATATTGAACAATGAAAATAAAAAAACGATCTTACTTCTTATTTGTATTGTGATGTATTTCGACAAGTGTTGTGTCTAATTTTTCGATTACGTTTACTATGTTCTCTTTAACATGGAAATGAAGTGATTCAGCTGAAAAATAATTCTGTTAGTATAAAAAAAAAACGATACCTTAATTATTAATTCTAAAGCAACACTGTAGTACCTCTACTAGTCGTAGGAACAGGTCTTTTAAGCCAGTCGTTCACACTGGAAATACTTGGATAGCTGTCGCATATTTTCTGAGTGTCGTTGACTTTGACTTTTTGTTTTTTACTATCTTTAGATGTCGCAGTAGATTTTCTTTTTACTGGAGTTTTCTCCAAACTCTTGATGCGTTAATTTTCGTGGACGTGCTTATATTGGAATTCTGACACGACTCCTTATCATGGAATGCTGACGAATTCCTTAACCAGTATTTTTTTATTTTCAAGTGGATTTTCTACACTTTCAATAACAGACTTAATAGATTTACTGCAGTTTCCTTTGAAACCAAAGGCTACGGAGAAAACTGCAGGTTTTTCTTTTTACTGGAGTTTTCTCCGAAACTCTCCATATAAATGGTTAAAGGAACGTATCTTTTATCATAAAAAATTTCTTTCGTGCTTAACATACTCGTTTGATTGCGACGCGATAGAATTTTGTTTTGCAATTGCTTTAATATCATCGAATAACTTTATAGGTGAATTTGTGAATTACGGAAATATTTTTTCTGTCGATTCGGTAGATTCTTTCGATTTTTTTACGTAAATGTTCGGTTTTTTCAACAGTTTGATTTGAAACGCATTTTTCTAACATTAGATCTTTTGAGTCAAGACTGGATACTGAATCGGAATAAGGACTTGATGGCAGCCATTTTCTTCTGATGACAACCTTAAGACAGACACTATGGAGACATTACAATACAAGAATATGTAAACAAGAATCGTAAAGTCTCCAGTAGTGTCTATCAGAAGCTCTTTAATAACAGCTTTGTCCTCGTAATTAATCGGACTGCGTTCCCTAAATTTTGAATTAGGATTATCATCCATATTGCGAGATTCTTCAATTGTTTCTCTTTTAAGCTTAACAAGAAATTCTTTATGAATTGATTTAAGTCATCAGCTTCTAAATTTCTCGTTTCTAGTTTGTTTTCAAAAACTCACGACTTGGAGGTAAATCGTCTTTGCACAAATCAAGATAGATCTTCGTGCGCATTTACAGGAGAAGAGCCAACAGCTCTGTTGTCTTAAAACTTTTCTGTTATTTTTCCTTTATCATCCGTCATTCCTTACATTTTACGTTCCATCGCCATTTTGGGTGCAGGTTCCAAATTAACTTTACTTTTTAGAGATTTTGGAATTTCTAGCGATTCATTTAAAACGTCTACAGCAGGTTCTTTGATACGTTCAAATTGATGAACGTATTAGAGAACCTGCTGTATACGATTTATTTAAAACATAAAAGATTTTTAATATTGATATGGTCATAACAAGATGTTGTTATGTGAGCTAATTACGTAATAACTTAAGACAGAAGGACCTTTAAGTAGGGACTGAATAAATTAACCGACTTGGTATTACATGGATCTCACAACTTTTACGATAGAAGAACTGAATTGCGAGACTTGTATTTTTACAGGTTATATTTTTGATGGCATTTATTTTTCGTCTTGATGGACCTGTTGCTTTCTTTGTAGCTTTGTAGTTTTACCTAATACCCTTTATGGGCTTAGTGTTTTTTTCTTTAGAAGTTGAATACCCAGGATGATCTTTTTGTGAGTTCTTCATATTCACAAAAATACACCTATATTACTGAATTATTATTAGTAGACTCTTCGGCAGAAGTGGAGTTACTAATAACTGTACAATTTTTAACTTTACCACCAGTAGTTGACATTTCGGTATTAGAAGCTTATTTTAAACTTTACCACCAGTAGTTGACATTTCGGTATTAGATTATTATTTATGTTTTCTTTAACTTTTATAAAATCCTTTTGGGTATCTAAAGCCTTACTTTCGCCGTGGTTTATAATTTGACTCTGTAAAGCTTCTTGGACCAAAACGTTTATTAAAATATCATCATTGTAATCTTTATTTTTAGATAATTGTTCTAATGTATCGTTTATAACAGATTCGACCGCAGTTCCAACAGAAGCTACTAAAAGGCAACTAACAGAATTTTTCTCATCCGTCGCTGCACAAACGTGTTTTTTGAACTTCTTTGCTTTTGTCGTTTTCCCTGCCAATTGCTTCCCCTCTTATCAAACTTTTCTGACAGATGCCATATCGACTTAGTTGTGAACTCGTGTTTAGGTTTCGATGATCATCCGCTTCGCTCACTTCAGTAATGCTGGACAATTGGGGTCTAGCGCATAAACTTACGGGTTCTTTCTTAATCGTAATTGTGCCGCGGCAAAGCGGCAAATTTTTAGTAGAGCTGTACTAAATGGTAAAGTTTTTTTGCTCTTACCACCTACCTTACCTACCTAACTTACATAACTTGCTAACTTACCTAACTTTTATATTACAACACTAAAAATGTGTATTTTTTAAAATTACTTAAACTCCAAGGATAATAAGAGTTTTGTACTAATTGCAATTTTTATCCGTTTATTTATAGATAAAAAGTAAAATACCAACTAAAACTTTTATAAGATTAAAAATTAAACTTAGAAACATGGTTGACTTTATGATTTTCGATAGATATCACTATTATCTATTAAAGAAGTAATTTATTATTATAAAATTTATTAATATCTACTAAAATGAAATAACAAAAACAGAAAAAAATGTACATTAGAAGTTTCAAATAAATAACGAATTGAATTAAATAACTATATAAATGTAATATTATTAAATTTGTTAGTGTAGGCAAAATGTCATTACTTTTTGTATTTTACGTTAGATGGCACTGTTTCGAAAAAGTGTCTCGTAAATATTTTATTTATTTTAATAAAACACATCAATCGTATAAAATATAAATTAACATCTAAAGGAAGGAAAATACTTAACCCTCCTTTTTTAAAGTTCCTTAATCGATAAAAAGTAGCCTATAAGTAGGGTAAGGTCCCTAACTACCTACACACAAAGTTTTATGGAAATATGAGACAGACAAACAAAAATTCTAAAAACCACTAATTTGGCTTCAGTGCCATTTATTTAGTCCCTTGGACTTGTTTTTTTTTTTCAAAAAATATTAGAATTACAGACACGACCTTTCTATAGATTTATTATATGTATAGATATTGTTTAGGAAACCTTAGCGATCTCATCAAGGTTTCATAGTAATATGTTAAATGATACAGGAACCCATTGAAAACGTACACACAAACATTATTTTATTTGTTAGAAGCCTTACCCTGGCAAGTAACCGCTGTTTAATAACGCTACTCAATTGTAAAAGTAAGCACCGTTAAAATGTAACGTAAGTACCGTTTAGTGGTGGTGTAAGAACACCCACTACCCCAAACCGTCCCGTGGGTGTCGTAAGGAGCGACAAAGGGAAACAAAGCAGGAGATGTGCAGCAGTATCTTCGTTAAAGTTACAGCCTGTATGTGTCCCACAGCTGGGCACAGGCCTCGTCTTAGTTCTGAGACGTTTTCAGTTCAAGGAAATGTTCGCCGCGCTGCCCCAATGCGTGTTGACGGGCTTTTACTTGTCTTCAAAATAGTTTTACTTCTCAGACATGCAGGTTTCCTCGCGACGTTTCACTTCACCCCTGGAGCACGTAGTAAATCAGCACTTAAAATTCCAACTAACAATTTCATTGGTGCCGGGCGATGATCGAACCCGGTTTGCACGCGTACTGTGAAATTCACAACGAGAGCTAAGCTGAGCTACCACAGCTCTCCTAATAACAGCGGCTTCCTAAACACGATACAAACAATATATTTGTACAACTGAAATAATATTTTTAAACAAACAATATTAAGGACGACTAAATGGACGTTTATAATGTTTTACAACTACCATCAACTGCTATTTCAATGGTACCATATATTTTGACAGAGAAATTCAAAGATAAAAATTACTGTAATTTTTATTTAGAATTATTAATTTTAACTATTTTATTAAATCGTTCACATTAATATTAGAAACAGATTGTGTGATGGACTTTTCTACTGCTTTAGTTATAGATAGACTTACTACATCGAACAATTTAACCACTCACGTCCCGACCAGTCCCGACAGTGTATTGGACCAATTAGTCAGACCAAAGATAAAAAAGTCAAGCCAAAGAGTATAGTAGGTTAGACCAATGACAATATTTTTTAATGAAGGTAAATATAACTTAATAATCACTTTTCGGAGAGGCGAAAAGTGGATTGCAGAGGCCCGTCTGGCTACGTTGAACGTATGTGGGGCAATGAATGATAAAATGGATGAAGTATGCGATATGATGTATGATAGAGGAATAGATGTGTTATGCGTAAATGAGACGAAAAGGAAGGGGAAGGATGTCACTACACATGGCATGTATACCGCATACAGGTCTGGTGTAGACGAGATCGAGCGGGCATGCCAGAGAGTAGGTATCATCCTTTCAGAAAGAATGGGCCAATGTGTGAAAGAGTATGAATGTGTAAGCCCAAGACTGCTATGGATACGAATGAAAGTGGGCTTAAAGAAGTTGTTTGTGTTAGGGGTCTACGCCCCAGACATGTCTAAGCCCACTTATATCCGAGAGCAGTTTTGGGAAATGGTAAGGATGGTGTTAATGAAGTGTAAGGGAAATGAAAATATTATTATGATAGGAGATTTTAATGGAAGGGTTGGGGTGGGGAGGCTTGGTTATGAAGGGATATTGGGAACGTTTTGTGATGAAAGTATAAATGAGAATGATGAAAGTCTCCTCATCGTATGTATGGAAAAGAATCTTTTTGTGACAAACACTTGCTTTCGCCACAAGAGGATTCACATGTATACTTGGGAAAGAGGTGACGATAGAAGCATGATAGATTTCATAATTGTGGATGAAAGATTGAGGAGCGCAGTGGTAGACACGAGAGTTTACCGGGGTTCTAACGTAGGAAAGGATCATTATTTAGTTTTATGCCGAATTAATGGTCTATTCAGGCGTTGGCGCCTTCGATCGTCTGTGTCTACCACTGCGTTATAGCGTATTAAAACAAAAAGTTTACAAGATGAAAGTGATAAAAACAAGTTCAAATGTAGACTGAAAGAAAATATAAGTGGTTTGGATGAATTATGTATGAAGGAGTTAGACTTGGAGAATATATGGCAAAATGTAAAGAAAGGTTTACATTTTGCCATATATTCTAAAACGTAAAAACTTGTATTATTTCAATGTGTAGTTTTCGCGTAAATATAAGAAATCATTAAGAAAGGTTTAGTGGATGCAGCTACCGAAGTATGTGGTGTTACTAAGAGAAAGAATGAAAGAAAAAATAATACGTTATGGTGGGATGATGAGTTACGTATGGAAGTTGAAGCAAAGAAGAGAGCATGGCTAGATTTACTAGCAACAAAGGCTGCTAATTCTAGCGGTACGAATGGTGATATTGAAAGAAAAAAGGCAGTCTTTAGACATCTTAATAAGAGAGTAAAAGAAGTAGTTGAAAGAAAAAAGCAAGAAAGAATTGATAAGAATGATAGAAGAATATCGGATAACTTCCAGGCAAATATTAAAATGTTCTGGAAACTTGTAAGAACTGCCAGGGGACATTCAAAACAGCCTATGATGAATGCTATAAGAGACGAGAATGGCTATATTCTGAATGATGAAGTTTTGAATTTAAAGAGATGGAAGGAATATTTTGAAAGCGTGTTTATGAGTGAGTACACAACGTGTGTACTAAGTGAAGTAGAAACACCGAAAGAAGAAGAAAGAGGTAGCGAGATAAGTATAGATGAAATAATGAAAGCAATGAAAAGCATGAAAGCAGGTAAGGCTGCCGGATATGATAGAGTTTCACTCGAAATGCTAAGGGCTGGAAAGGAAGTGGTGGCAGGCCTGCTGCACACCTTGTTTAATTTATGCTGGGAACTGAAGCGGGTACAGGTAGACTGGTGCAAAGCCGTGATAGTCCCAGTATATAAAGGAAGAGGGTCGCAGCAGGACTGTAAAAACTACCGTGGCATCAGCCTTCTTAGCATTATGGGAAAACTGTATGCTAAGGTACTGATTGAAAGGGTCATGAAAGAAACTGATGGAAAAATTTGGGATGTGCAAGCGGGATTTAGAAAGGGAATGGGATGTACAGACCAAGTCTTTACCATGCGCATGATCGCGGAGAAGTTTCTGGCCAAAAACCAAAAGGTTTTTTGTGCGTTCATGGACTTGGAAAGGGCCTATGACAGAGTGGATAGGGATTTGCTATGGCAAACACTGAACTCATTTGGGTTGAGCGCTGGCTTGATACAGGCATTGGAGTCTCTTTATAGGGACTCTAGTGCTTGTGTTAGGATCAACGGGGTCTACTCGGACTGGTTTGACATACATAAAGGTGTCAGACAGGGCTCTGTGGGTTCCCCGTGGCTGTTCAACCTATTTATGGACAGTTGTTTGCAAAATTTGAAAGTTGAAGAATGCGGATTAAGAATGGGTGAGTTAACCGTCAAATGCCTTTTGTACGCCGACGATCAAGTTATTCTTGCGTCGTCAGCGGCCGACTTGCAAATGATGGTTACGTTAATGAACGGATCATTAAAAGAAAGGGGTATGAAAGTGAACGCAAGTAAGACGAAGGTTATGGTTTTTGAAAGAGAAGAAAGTAAAACGATTTGTGAAATAAGAATAGAAGGCGAGTTGATCGAGCAAGTAGAT